TGACCAAAAAGACGTGAAGGCTGCGTGGTGCTTGTTTTTCGAATACACCTTTTAGGTGATAAGCGGTTGGTAGAGGTTTTAAAACGTACATTCGAAAAGCATGAAACACGTATCTCCTACATCAGAGCCGCGTCGCGATTTGATGTTGGGTCTCATGTGTGTCCTTAGGAGGTTTGACCAACAGGATGAGATTCGCTGAAATGGTACTAGGTTCCATTTACGTCTGCTTTGAGAGATAAGGCTTCTGCCCAACCTTTTTCGCTCCCTTCCCTGTCATGTGCTGTAGACACATACCGCTCTGGTTTGTCATACCATCAGGCCACTGAACAGTCTGTATCTTCTACTGTTTTAGCTAAGTCAAAACTCGGTCCTCTCCACTCATCACGGGTTGTCATGCTGTCAGGTAATGTGTGAAATGTCCCACTACTGTGAAAATAGCTAACACTTCACGTGCAGTAGCACTTTCTGTCTTGCCTGCTTATTGAGTTTGGTGCTCACGTATGCAACGACGGCGGTTTGATGATTTAGTTTATCATCCTGATGTAAATATATGCTACCCACAGCTATATGTTTCACTAATGTCATACATTGTTCAGACTGAATGGCGAGGCACCCGATTGGAAATTGGCGTGAAGCAGACAATATTATTCAGTTCCTCCCATTTACAACATTTTTGGTCTGCTTTTCCATTAGCATATGCAACGGGCTAGCGATCTCAGGAAAGCGTAGGAAACAATGCTATTCTGTCTGACTGGTTAGTGTTGGTGCTGAGCAGGTGCTAACTTGCTTTGTGCGGTCTTCCGCCACCACCATCCCATTTCTTGAGACTTTACGTCACAAGCTGCGTGTATGCGTGTGCGTTGTGGAAGCTGGCACTTGTGTGAATTTGTCGTCTAGCCTACGTCTTGTGGATAGGTGATCAGACACTAATTCAAGAGTAGAATTATACCTCTAAAATATCCTTACCGATAATCAGTACGTTGCCTAAGTGTATTATGCGGTTTTCAAAATTTGTCAAACTAGAACTGTTGACAAAAGTTGTTGACTAATTGCAGCTGCACTAAAGATTCCGAAAGCCGTGGCTTAGAACTCACAACCTGTCAGTTTTGAGCATCTCTACTTACCAGTATCTCGATTTTAGCTTTGATGTAAAGAACCACTTAGAACTGCTTGAGGAGCTTGACGATTTATCTATGTAGAGTGGGGAGATGCCCAATTCTTTGCTGTCTTTCATTACCAGAACAGTCGATGGGGCCTGCGATGATTTGGGAGCTTTGATGACCACCTCTTTTTTGCGCATCTGGTCGACGAAAGGAGAATGGTCCACCTCCTTTAGCAGAGGAGGTGGTACATAAATCGGTGGTTGGCGGATTGGTCTGCTTCCTGTCTATCGCACGTTCGATGATACCTGTCCTTTCAGGCTCAGAAATCCTTTACACGAGGAAGTTGTTGAGCTTAGCCAGCAAGTTTTGAAGTTCACTTCACTCCTTGTCATTTACATGGGCTAGTTTTGAGCAAAGGTCACTTAAGCTGCTACTGGTTATCACTGCGATTTCGAGGAGGTCGTTACAGGTGTACTAATCACAGTTTCGATGAGGGAAACTTCACAGTGTGTTTACGGTCTTGGCAATGAGCAGGCACCCTTGGCAGAACGTAAAGAATAGCCCAAAGAGATTATGTGCCAAGCTAATTCTTGACACACGAGGGATCTTACTACCCCCGTTTTCATGTCAATGGTATGTTGGTGTAAAAAGATCCCCCTATCCAATGTTATCGCCTCTCCTTTCTACTGATCTTACCGTGTGAGATCGTGCAACAGCCTCGATTGTTTGATGAAGGAATGGAATGGTTTGGAGTTGAATGAGCAAACTCTGCGATGCATTGTTGACCAACCTGGCTACACTGAAGTCACGGAGGAGATGACACGAGTGACCATCTAATTTGCCCAGAGTTTACACGAATACATGGCAGTCATTGAAGGCTGTCATTGGGAAGCAGGCACGACATAGGAGAAGAGGAATCACCCAAGGTTGGGTGGTGAAGTGGACATCGTAGGACATCGTAGCTGCTGGGGCTGCTGCAGTTGCCGTTGCTGTTGCAGTATTGCAATATGGTAGACACCTCCTTGCCATTCTTCAATATGAAGAACCCAAATCACTGGGAGGATAACTAAGAGGTAAGAGAGGGAGGAGATGTGTAAGAATGTGGTGTTCATGCTGCGAAACTTGTCAACCGTATAATGTGTAGGACCACTCCATGCCCAAATTGAAGAACTACTCATCTTTTGACTCTTGTTGATGTTAAGTCAAAAGATGGAAGACGTACTCTCCTATATCCTGTTTGTCTAGCATGTTTGGCATACTCCTCGTGATGTCCTCCATCTTTTGGACGTGGTAGCAGAACTCGGGCCAACTTCTGCTGTTCTTGAGGGATGACAATTTGTGCCAGTTTTAAGTAGCATTTCCTGAAGTCGGTTTTCGGGGTTATGGGGCTTTGGCTGTCAGCGCAGTGGAGAATGAATTGTGAAGACGTACACAAGAGATTGTTAAGAAGGAAACCAGAGGCAGAGGTCGACTCTGACGTGCTCGAGTCACTCGTCAATATCTGCATCCGCTACGTATGAGGAGGGTTTATCCTAGAGTACCAACGCCAGAGAAATTTAGACGTTTCTTAAATTAACTCCCAACTTTAAATCCTCCGATCAAGAAATTGCATTTGTAGATGGCAAATGATTGTTTGAGAGCAAAATTATGTTTATACGGGCGGCACAAGTTTCATGAGGAATTGCAATTTATACTGTCTTTTTAGGGAGGGACGGAGTCACGTGGAGCCTCAGGCTCGTCAAAATCAGCTTCTTTTAACGGGAAGGTTCATTAGACACCCCGTTTTGTGTAGAAAACTTCCATTGTTTAAATTTCCCATGTATAAATACATCGTGGTCACCTACCACTAACGTGGAATCAACATTCCCTCATAAGGTGAATGCACAACTAATGTACGCATGGATAAATTGCTAATATGGCATTCATTCATTCACTTGTACGTGTAGTATCCAAAATAATCTTTGTTTCGTCGTTTTGTGTAAAAAATCAATTTTTAACCTTGACATCTGATTTAGTACCGAAGATTCATATTTTTGCATTACTCTTTTTGAAAATTTTACAACATATTTGAGGAAAAACGCATAACAGTTGCCAATTTTTCCCTTATTTCACAAGAACTCAGACCAACAGAAGTACTTATTAAAGAATCAAAACAGGTGCCAGAAATAACAGGCATATCGAATTAGGTAATAAAATGTTTTTTTTTTTGAGGGTTCAGTGTCTAGACAAAGCAGGCACAGCAACCGCCAGTTCGCTTCTCCTTTTGACGCCAGATGAGGTATTTATGAGCACCACCGTCGGGGCTGAAAGCATAAAACTGTTTGTTAATTGCATCTACAGCTGGAATGTTGTGTTCATCGAGGATAACACGTGAGCGCCAACGAGGCCCGTGCTGCTTGTCTAGGTAGAGTAACATTTGCTGCATCGAACCACTTGGGTCCTCCACCTTCCACTCTCTTTCCAGGTACTTGGTCACGTCAGTCTTCTGCTTTGGCGATAGTGTACTCTTGTAGTCTACTATCTCTTTAATGTCTGTAGGTCCCGGTGATCTGCAAATAAAATTGCAACAGAATGCTGCACTTTAGCGAAGGCAGTGACTTAATAGGCTTCGGCAATTTTTGACTAAAATTTAAATGTTCGTACAAAAATACTCCCTAGTCAAATAAGTAGATAATTTCTACCCTTAAAATTCGACTAGCTCATATAACTGGCGCAGCATTTCAATGGGCATATCTTTACCCATTCCAACAATAAATTGCCTGATATATAAGCCTTTATAGGGGAATCTACAATCACAAAATATATAAAAATTTAAATAATTTTACTGTGTGTATAACAGCCAAGCTGTGCCAAATTAAAAACCAAGGCAATGAAGCTGCTGCCAATTGCTGCAAAAATTTATATATAAATTTAAAATTCAAAGGAACCTGTTGAATAAATTGAATGATTAGTAAAATGCAAATTTACGCCGGATTTTTCTTATTCAACCCGATGACCTCGCAGAAATGTTCATATGTGAAGCTCCCTGTTCTTTCGGGATCAAAGAGAGTGATCCATCTCTGATAAAGTAGTAAAAGAGAATGATAGTTAGAAGGTATGACAAACGCATTACTTCAGCAAATGAGTCAGGAAGACCAGCATTCTCTGCGAATTTGTTTAAATCACCATGTGTTATAAAACCGCGATTGTGAAGGTCTATTTCTGCATAGGCAGAAAGGAAGCTCCTATGTAAGCTTTCAGTTTGCAGCATGTCTGATCGAGGAATAATCACCCTTCTATGTGAACCACAAACATCTTATTTAAGTGACCCAGACGTTGAACTAAGACAAATATGTGGGCATAGTTTAATAAAATGTTGGTTAGAGACCACCATTTGTTAAGTCAACTTGCCATACCCACTTATTGCCTGAATTAAATAAAGTATACAGGAACCAATGACGTATATGTTGTGGATGAAAGTGCAAGCCAAGTCCAGTTAATGTAGTTTAAATTGATAATAGGTCCTCATAGAAACAATAAACTTAATAATATGCATCGCGCATGACTTCGATCCCACCAACGGTTGATGATTACATATTTTATAAGAAAACTATCTGTCGGGCTCTGACGCATGCAATTTAGCACAAAAGACAAATAAAAAAGTGAACATGCGTTGGATATGGGTCTCTTTTCAAATTATTTACCACAGCGAGTTGAGTATGCGCACAAGAAGTGGGTGCATTAACTTAATTCCAATTACAGTGTATATTAGCATCGACTACGCTTTAGTATGTGACAATATGTATACAAGTGGCCTCAAGAGAACGAATCCCAAAAAGGGCTTTTGTAAATTTCTACCAAATTTCGATTTAGAAATTTTGACTGTAACTATGTCTGCAGAATTCTACATAATGATTTCTTTTAATACTAAAATGATCCATGCAAAGTGTTCATCCAGACAGCAAACCAAATGTCAATGTACTCGGCTTTGTGTAGAACAAAGAACTATATAATATAATATAAAAACAGGAATTTTGTCCAAATTTTTAGGGAAGTTTTTGGGCCAAAAACTAAGGGATTTCTATGCGTATAATAATAAAAATAGTGACTCCTGGGTAAATATTCCCAGGTTAAAATTGTATGGTTAGGAGAAGTGAGCAATCCATAATACATACTCAAATATCAGGGCATTTTTCATCTGAATATAATTTAAACTATTAACTGAACCTACATGTCAAATCTATTTAATCTCAATGTCAAGGAACCATTTTTGGAAATTTAAAGTAACTAAGTTCCCTGCATTCAGCTCTGCATAGTGATTTAATCACATGGAAATATAAAGCAAGTGGAAGTGCATTCCAGTGTAACGATGCTATTTGCCACCCATAAAAAAAGTGATCACCGCAAAACTTGCCTCCTGAAAAACCTCCTTATAACACCATCTGAGGTAAGGCTTTTTACCAAAAAACAAATAGAATCTCTTAGAATATTAAAAATATTATTGTTTGCGTAAACAATCAGAACGTTAGAAATTAGCAATTTAAAGTAAATGAGAACGATTTTTGGCATTATTTTGCAAAAAGTAATATCACACTCAATAAAGAAATTGGATTCATATTTAAAATATCGTCGTTCTAAAGTTGATAAACGGCTAAAATTAAACCAATAGAGTTTGACGAAAGGGTCAGCAATTCGAATGAAGAAAGAATTGAATAAATTGATATTTCGGACCAAAACGAATGTTATTTTTAGTAGTTATCTATCGATTTATTGTAATAATGAGGGTTTAAGTCAAAGTCTCATCAGCTACTACAATGAGGACTCGATTTTGATTGGCTTATTTAATAAATGCTAAAAGTATGATGGACATTCGCCCCCATTCACTGAATTTCGCATGACAAACAATAAAAATAACTAGTCAATTTTATCATTAAAACCGATTTCCAAAAAAATTATAATAATTAGAATCTGGCATTGATTTGTTTTAACGTCGGAACAAAAGAATTGCAGAGAGCCGCAGTGTTTCTTTGATGGTCGAATTGTTGTTTTATCGAGGTCACCATTATGCAGGCAAAGATATGCATCAATTAAAATTTATAGTTTAAGAAAATCTATAAAAGGGTAAAATGCCTAGTGGGATGGTAGACCTCTCATTCCGAAGAACTACGCAAAACTATGCAACAAAAGACTTCACTTCCTGCTGGCATGTGACGGAATTCTTTCTGATTTTAACCTTTTATGGCCAATAAGATCGATGGAATAGTTACCAACCTACTTAAGGGTTATTCTGAAATTGGCCAAAACTTTTAAAAACAACAATTCTAAAATTAAGCATTCACCCATTAATGAAACAGGTCTGCAAGTATGCTTAGCCTTACATCGACGAATTTCTGTCCCTTATTTCCGCGTTTTGCGTAATCCTCCAACTCCTTATTAGTAATCCACCCTTTGTTTTCAGAATCGATCTCCTTGTAGATGTGGTGTAGTGCTTGTGCCATTTCACGTTCGTCTGATAGCGCTGGTGGCAGCAGTGGCCGCAGATACTACTGCTGCTACTGATGATGGTAACTACCTATGCGCTCTAAGGTCACAAAAGCAACAAACTTCTCTCCAAATGCAGGTTGCTTAGTTTTTTAGAAAGACTTTCTTGTAACAGCTACAACAACTCGCATTAGCCAACTCAAATATTCATGAATTAGTTAGTCAGTTCAACTGCATTTATATTATTACCATTTCAATTGAGGCCACCTACTTTGAACCAGGTCATGCATTTTGCCTCGCACCTATGTGGTGTTTTGGAAATTTTGAATTCATTAGGCCTTTAGATTTTTACAGCATTCATAATCTCGCTAGCATCTTTCTAATTTCCTATTTACTGACCGTTATATAAGTCAATATCGCCAATAATTTGCCGAACAACTTATTTTTAATTAATTTTTAACTATTCAATTTTGGAATACCGTGGATTTTGCCTCATTTGATCAATTTCAAAATGACGTCTATTTATTTAGAGGAAATATGCGCAAGATCAAGCAGCTTCTTACGCATTACTACAATTCTATGACAAAGTTGGTCATTAAAAATCGACCAACTGTCAAACATGAAGGGAAAAATGTTATCAAAATTACAGACTATATAATGGTTTTGTAATTTGGAAGAAATGTGACCAAATTCTTAACTCATGCGGAAGCGTCTCAAACGGCGAACGTCCCGATGGTGCTAGCATTATGTAGTGAATAACTTAGCGACAAGTGGCCAAAACGGGCATGGTTTTCATAAGTTCTATGGGTGTTTGCTTCGTGTTTAATGTTATGCGAGGAATTTGCGAATGCTACTTACCAATCCTGTAAAATGCTGCACTAAGCGCCATTGAGGAATCAAATGAACCATGTAATGAATGTTTGGTGTATTTTACACTGTAGTGAATAAGATTTCATTGGAAAATTGTGCGAAACAAAGTACTCAATTTATGATCCAAAAATGGATTTGCGACAATGCAATTTCTGCCTTCTTAATCTGAGAATTCTTTAGCTTATAAATTTGAATGAAGTGTATCCATCTGTTCTAAATATTTTGAAAAACAGTTACATCTCCCACAAGAACAAATGCAAGGTTTGTAGTGTAATAAGACCCGGACAAATCTTCAGTGGTGTGCTATAGCATTTGAGGAGTAAGCATATTCTGAGGCCTACTTGAGTTTTGCACATTTTATTTGGAAAAAGTGACTACATTATTTGCAAAGTGAATTGGCCAGAAATTACCTTATATCGTAGCTAATAACAAATAAAGTACCCTCATTTGACGGTTTATTACTGCGTTGAAGATAAATATTATCAGTGCCTTTAGTCATAAAGACCGTCGAATTTGTAGGCATGGTTTTAGTATCAAAGAACAGGAGGTATACTTTTGGTACACATTTACTTTGATGCATTTTAATAAAGATAAGCAACGTACATTATCATTAATATTCTTTTAAACTCATAGTTGCAATGTAATTAATAAGATATCATTTGCATTTGTGCGTAAAAGTGTTCATTATTTTCTTTTAAGTAATGCTGTGCCTACTTATTACAATTTTGTCATAGCATTTAGACGTGCACAGTCGTTTGTTGCATACAGCAACAAAGTAATTCCTGAAGCTGTGAATTTTTGGCTCAATATAAAGAACTACCTTTTACAAGTATAAGTATTGTGCATACATTTTACAAAAAAGGGAAAATAAGGAAAATAAGGGAAAATAAGCTCATTAAAGAAACGCTGATCTTCAAGGAGCAAGTGCCTCCCAAGAATGTGCATCCGTCTATTGTTAAACATCCAAGGAGAGAACACATGCAAATTTGTCTCATTAACTCGGAGAGTATTTGTGCTTATAAAAGACCTTAAAACCACCAACTATTCCTAAAACACTTAAAATTAACCTTAAGAATATACATAAATAGGAAGCGGAAGTATTAGCTTCAAATATTTCCAAATAAGAGACATATTCATCAACATTTGTTCTGAATGATATTGAAGTAAGACAAAAAAGGGAGGAATAAGGAAGTAACTATAATTTAACAGTGTTTAATATGCACAGATAAGTTTTCGCGTCTTCATTTTTGTAAAACGAGGTGTAAATTTGTTTCTTCCTTTAGGGCATTGCCTCATTATGAAAGAAGGGGGATTAGGATTGTGAAAGGAATGTAGCAGGACTCACTTGTACGAAGGCGTCAGGTATATTTTGTTCACGAGCATAGTTCTTCAGATCATCATGGGAAATAATATGATCATGATCTTTGTCGATGTTGTCAAAAGCTACGAGGAATCCGCGAACAGCCATCTGTGTGTCAAATTTGAAATTTGTTTTCAGACTGCTAGTGCTATCACATCCAAACCACCTCCTGTTTCTTCTCAGGACTTTCAATTACCCGTTGACCAATCAGTGTTCATGTGCTTAGCTACGCATTTGCGCACACCATGGCACACATTAAAATTCGACGTGTGAGTCACATTGCGTTGATCCCATTGGTAAATAGTAGTGGATATTTGTGTTTTTAATGAGGTTGACATTGTTGTATTAGCAGCAAAACAGCCCCGTCTAACCAAATGTAATGTGTGAGTTCAGAGTGCTTTTGTCACACACTTATCAGGTATGAAAAACTGTTGAATTATCGTTGCTTTCAGACATTAAATTATTTAACTATCATTTCTTAGTCATTTCAAATTGACTAAAGTTATTTGGTACCACAGTTGTACTGTTAATTAATTAGCTTTTTTTAGCTACTTTAGCCTATGGAAAGAAAAGAAGCAGGGAAAATACTTGAGATCTAGGTGTGGAAAAATGAGTGATTCCCACATTGGTTGTACTTTTCTTCAAGTTCTTGCCAAAATAGCTAGCTTTTCTGTGCATAGTGACGTTAAGACTTGTTTCTAATGTCAGCATATACTAGAGGGTGTTTAAGTAATGAATCTATTGACTTCTAATTGAGAGGTAAATATTACGTACAGAGTGTTGCAAAAAATTACTTTGAACAGGAAGTTGAGTGCTAAGTTGCAAGAATATATTAAACCTTTGCTTACCTTTGTACCTTACTATGTTATGCTTCGAGATTTTAGTTCGTTTTCAAAGCAGCTCCTTAATTCTTTTGCTCAAAACGACTTAAATAAAAAAGCCCATTTTCTTTTAATTTTAAGGCAAAGTTTTTGTAATGATTTATTTGATTTGTAGACACCCAAGATGCAAATTTTTTACTCTTGTTGCTTGAAAAATGCTAAAATGCATTTATAAAAATTTCAGTCCTTGTAAATAAACAATTAATTATTAGAAATGATATTCTATCAGATGGTTTAACTTAAGATACCATTTTTACTCTAGAACTTAAAATAATGTAAAGCCCTTGACTTTACCAGTGCCTTGAATATCATATATCTCGTGTGTAAGCCTTTTCCCATTGAAAAATACTACTTCTCTCCCGCTAAAACGAGTAATGTGTTATACGTTAGAGCAAGAAACATTCTAAACGGAGCGCTAAACCTCTTACTTTCTAGGACGGACGACAGGCCTGAGTTTGGTTTTAAGGGCTTCACCTTACTCCCTCAGCCTTCATTAATTCAATTTCAGTTTAACGAACATGTTGCACTCAACAGCACCACTCAAGTAGTTGGAGTACTGCCAAAACAACACGACACTCACAGTTCTTCTTAGTTTTTAGGTTTCTTGCCAGTACTGTCACCATTTCGGAGTTTGTTTTCTTGGCTAACACGTTAACAAACACGCTTAGAAGTTGTGGCATCTGTTATCATAAATCCACTAGTAATAAAAAGTGGAAAATACAGCATTCTTTTGAACTCAGAAAAAAATTTGATGAGATCTATTACCCAAATTACTTTGGAGCTCCTAACCACAAGGCAGTAGATTTTTCTTTCACACTATCAAAACCATTTTTTGAACTATCAAAAGAGGCTCTCTATTTAAAGGACATAATACCTGTACCTAAACGACTCGAATAGGTATTTCATGTGTTTTTTTTTTTTCAGTGGCAAAAGTGCTCACTCCCTTCTTTTACTCTTTAACTTTTTAGTTTGATAGAAATGGGGAGCGGAAACCTGCTTTTCTCTCTCTTCGCACATACACATAATCGCTTCCTTTGAGAGGTTCACGTTTTACTAGATATGTAAATAGTTGCGGGAAACAAGAACAACAAACATTGCCTTCTTGAGTAAGGCAATAATTTTGAATTTCTTTGTAAAACTATGCATGCATGCGTTGAGTTTCTAAAGAAAGTCCATATTTCTTGACAAGGCTGTAACTGAACATTGACTTGTAAGGTCACCTTATTACACACTTGTCTCATAGGTGTAACAGAAAGCTTTTCATTCCTAGCTATTCACGTAAAAAGCATTGATTCGCCATCGGATTAAAACATCAGCTACCGTAGTAACAATTTCTTGGAAAAATTAACCCAGACCTCAATGTTGACATTGAAAACTTTACAAATTAATACTTTAACAGTTTGAAGAATGGTAGGTTCTCATGAAAGTCATAATATTTATCAACCCCTGAATGCCAAAAGCATTTCATTATGTTAATAAAAACTGAAGTGATGAAGTACTCGTAGAGACGCTCCAAAGTTGTGCTACTCACGCATTGTGAATAAGTCTAGCGTAGGTGGTGGATTGCAGGCGGAAATTCGTGCATGGCTGCGTGTACATGAATGCATGGCAAATGTGTTGAGAGCATTTGAGAACTTTGATGATGTACAACCATTTTCATGGACCGATTTCACATAGTTTTCTTTAATTATGAGAGATTTTAATCAAAACAATGCTTCTTATACTTGAGAATTAGAAAATCATCACGCACATTGAGGTGTAAGAATAGTGGACCTCAGTCGAAAAAATCCAACCTTTCATTTCGGTTTTTTAGAGAAGTTGATGTCTACTGACATTCAAAAATCTACAAGTACAGGAGTGATTTGTTCAATCTCAACCCACAATTTTGGTTCAGCTGCAATATTTATATCAATTTTTAGAAAAGGCATTCAGTTTCAACTTACTTATGGATTGAAGTTTTTTAAGCGATGAATTAGTATCCGATATTCTATGATATTGAGAATTGCCCAAATGAAGAGGAAATTCGCTGTGCCCTAGGGTGTGCATTATAATAGAAAAAAATGCCCAAAACTCAAAAAAATGAAATTCGAAGAACACAGGAATTTGATAATAATTGACATTTGTGCTGTTCATCCTTGTGCGATTACAACGGTGTTAGTTTCTTCAATCAGTTTCGGCTCTTTCTCAAATTGGAAATTTTAGCTGTGCTTCCTTCGAAAAAAATCTTTTTTTTTACTTTATTTCAAGATCTTTTGTTTAGTTCCAAATGGGTTCAATTTTAAGGCGCGATAAAATTTTATTTTTTTTTTTTTAAATTATGTGGCATTTGTGCAAAGACGTGTAAAAACATATAACAATTCCTACCACTCATTTTTACAATAAGTCTCCTTTACGCATGTTCACCTAAAATATAAAGGCAAATTATTTTTAGTATTTCCCATTGTTTATATTCTTTAACACCCAAATTAACCTGCTTACAAATGTTAATTAAAGATGACAAAATTATTTATTAATTTCCTTTTTTAATGGGTTTTGATGCATCAGCGATGATCTGTGGATTCAGAGTAGGTAACAAAATCTTGACTCCTCAGACAAGCCCATTCATAAATCCTTGTGAATCGGTGTCAGCGTCCTTTGGTAAACATCTGGTCACCGTAATATGATTATGAAAAAAAAAAGAGTTACCTAGGTTCCACAAGCTCTAACTAGCCTCGTAAATGGTGGTGTGATTTAGCTCTTGTCACTAGAACACGAAAAAAATGTACGTCAAATGTAGTAAAATGGTTGTCTTCTTTGAAGGCACTTGACACCTATATATTCTCTGCCTATGTGATCTCTCAAACCAAAAAATCGTCTAATGCACTTATTAACGATTGATATTTGATCCCACTAATGTTCATTATAGGTAGAATGTTTTTTGCGAATTGCATATACTTACTCTTAATTTCAAATAAACCTTATCGACAAGTTAAGCCTATGTATAAAACCCACTTTTGGAACACATATTTTGCGCCTTCATGAACACAGAACAGAACAAATACTTTGTAAAAAGAACTTTTCGTGATGCCGAATATAAAACGAAGAATGAAACGTCTTTGTGAAATTCAAAGGCCTCGCCTATTTTTTTTCAGTTAGTACTTCATTCTTGAAAATCTTTCTAAGTCACAAAGATTGCAATTGTGTAAATCTAGTCGATTTTTTTTTGCAATTTGTGAGATTTTCCCAAGTGTGAGTAGTTAGTAGGATGGAAGATGATGCCTTAGCCGGGAAGTACTCCTTTCTAGGTAAAGATAATTATGTCTGTCTGTTAGTTATTAGTTATTGAAGGAAAACAAATACCTTTCACATTTACTTGGAGCAATTTTAGTAAAAATTACCTAAAGTTTGAAGCAATGCTGTGCACAATGAATCACGTTCGAACTATAACCGCATATGATCAATGCATAACGCACTAATTCAATTTCTTTTATTCAACTTGCTTGCAAGTTTAGGTGTTAAACAAGACGCACTTGAAATTAATCTAAAGACGAGTATTGATAAAGTAGGCTGTCACAGCAATTAGTTGGAAATAATACTAATTTCAAATAAAGTTATTTATTTGCGAAGCTTTCAATGACACTGTTTTTTACAGCCTGTGTCGATTTATTGCTCCATTGAAGGAATAGTCCCGGTCCTTGAAGGAAATCTTTGTTCGGGGCCTAAAGGAATGTACTACACCATATTGCTGATGTTCTGGGAGAAGTCCAATTTGCTCGCCCCGAATTCTTACAAAATCGCGTCCCAAATCAAGTAGAAGGTGAGCTGAAGCCTGACGGCTTCTCTCCGCGATATCCATAACTGATGGAAGGGTATAATAGAGTATTCCGTGGTCCTGATGATAAGTCGGGACGCATTCTTTCTTCTCATCATTCATACTCAGTGGTTGACCCATCAGACAGCAGCGAACCACACCACAATGCATTAGGATTTTTAGAATTTCCCGCCAATTGGCCACAAGTGCTGAGCGGTCCTGAACCAGCAAAGGATGAAGCGGTGCATGGCCTGTTTGAACAAAATCAAGTTTACTTAAAGTATTTCAATAGATTTATTTTAGTCTCGTAATTACTCACACGCTACGACAACATTTTCATTGCAGTGTAGAGCCTCCTGAATTGTCTCGTCGAGCCACTTAAGCTGCCGTTGCGACATGATCAGTCGAACTCTTGGCACTTGCCCGCGTTCCTCTGCTGTCAAGAATTCACCGATAGTCATGAGCTCCCGCGACCATCCAATTGGCTTGGTTGCCTCAGAGATATGCATTGTGCACTACATTTGCGTAGTTTTATAGCAATTAAGCACATACTTTTTTATTGACAGGGTCTCTGATATTGAAATGCATTAAGAAGCCGTTTCCAGTTGCCTCAGAGTTATATGGTGTCGGTGGATCAGTAGTATTTCTTGGTTCGACTGCTAATTGCTCATAGCCATCCAAAACAACAAGCCTCCATTGTGGTCCAATCATCACCTTGTAAACGAAATATATCAGTTATAAAAAACAAACTATTAGTAATAATTCAGTAATTTACCGAATAGTACATGTCTCCACAAAATCGGAGGTGGTTTTGCGACCTTTCATGCGAAAGTGCAAGATCTCTCATGAATGAATTTGTATATTGTTCACGAACTGCAGAATCCAAGTCACCAATCACGTGGCACACCTTCTTGTAGGTTTTATTAAAAACGTGAGCCAGATGAGCAATCAAATCTTCAACTTCGGCTTCAGTACTAACATAACGTGTATCGATAATGTTGCCCAACTGAATAATTGCATCGGTATTTTCATATGACAAATTAAGGAGAGTTTTGTCAAGAATATTCAAACTGAGGTTCGGCGATCCCACGTGCTTACTAAAACGGAGATCACTGAAGGCTCCAACTCTACAAAGTGGATTGTTTAAACTCCAGTATGTTGTCTCATATTGGTCATAATGATTAAGTTTATGCCTTTGTGGACCTGGACAAGGGAAGTTTGGAGCAACTTCCCCCATGGGACATTGAGGAACAACCTCTTGAAAACATATTTCATGCGCAGCTGGTAACCTATTTCCTGATCCACAAAAACCCATGCTATCTAAAAACAGTAAGATCCTTAATTAGCATTAAAGATCTAGTTAAAATGCTTTAAATACCACTAGTTTGTTTAGGACTCATGTTTCAAGTAATTGGTATGTAAGAAAAAGCACCCCACCGGTTTACCAAATAAGCAATGGGAGTAACTCAACGCCAGCACATTTTAATTACGACTGAAACTACGCCACACAAGATCATACTTCAAGTACTCAATAAGTTGTGCAATCTCAAGGGTAATGAAATCATAAGGTGCAAATTTTAGCCTGCCACAATAAATACTGAACCACATACACACTATTTAACGCCCTACAAGCTGACGCACTGTTAGGTATAACCATCACGAATGACAAAAGATGACAGACAAAATTCTTTAATGTCTTAAATGTCTCAATCGACCATGCTAGTCGATTACCTCCTAAACGACCAGCTGTCTGCTTAGACTCAAGGTCACAGCTTTAAGAGAAGAAAGTTCAGTGTCTATGGCCTGGATGGTTAAAACAAATAGGGAATGGCAAGACAGGAAAACAGTGACTTGGTGCCGTTTTTCAGAAAAGGCTTACACAAATGGTGATTTTATATTTTAATAAAGGACAACTGTACACTGCTTAAAAAATGGGTTTATATTAATGAGTATATGTAACGCATACAAAGCCTTAAATAAGCATCCTTCTTGCTTACATAAGTATGAATTGCGTATTTAATTAAACAAAAGATGCTTTAAGAAAAACAGTGAAATACAATTTGCATGAATATGCGAAAAAATTGCACAGGTTCCACGGAGTTGATGTGTTGATTCGCCATTATTTTGAGATGCATTAATTTAAGCGGACTCATTTTTTTCCACAGGATGTGCTTTAGCTTGACTACAGCATCCCCTGGCTCTGTTTATTGGTCCTCACCCCTCACTATTCGATTAGTAAAACTTCCTTCTGCATGTTTACTTTCTTGCAACTTTGGAGGGGACTTGCAGTCCCGCAGTCTGGCACTTTCCCACCTCCGAAAGATAATTTTAGTTAAAGAAAAAAAATTATTGTAACCGTTACTGACAAGGACTCGTTATCCCCGTCTACGAACAAATTAAAGCCTACTTCTTAGGATATATCACATTTGTTTTCATCTACAAACATGCCCACAAACTTGTGCCGACATTGGTTTGCTAAAACACGCTTTATGAGTACTATTTTTAACCATTTAATAGGTAGCTTTGCAATGCTTATCGTGGGAAACATAATAACCTCCCGCAGCACATTAAAAAAATACCACCTCGGGTAATGCAATTGAAATATGCAGATAAAGAATACACTGCACATGCAAAACACCAAGAATAACCTAGAGGTAGAGCTGCCCCCTCTCACTTGCAATTTGTGCCAAAATGCGTTCTGCTCAAGTTGTGCATTTTTGAAAAATTACATATTTACGGGAGTTAATAATAGCTTGATTCACAATTTCCACCGCATCCTCCCGATGTATTTCTCAAAAAGAGTACAGTCTCCAATTTGACCCGTCAGAGAGGAAATATAGAGGGATCGGATTTTAGGGTATTTCGGATTCAAAATATCCCCAGTGAGACCCACACAGACGGTGCGTTTCTTGTCGCTATCAGATAGATCCGCAGCTGGAAGTAATTGTTCAGGATGAATAATAACGTTGCGCCGAATGCCCCAAAAGTTGAGTAGACCTAGGCGAAGCAATCCAGTCGATTTGTTCTGACTTATCTGTTAAATGAAAAAATGCATATTTGCCTCAAAATTTGGAAAGAGCAGATCATGAGTGAATTTTTCTGAGCAGTAGAGGCTCTAGTAAGAAACCGATATTACGGCTTATAGTCAATATTTGTTTAAGAAATTTAGGAAAATCACGGAGAAAAGATCTAACTGATTTCTAAAGTACTTTAAGAGTTAATGATGAGATATTTTAAGTTGTTAATTACTATTTGTGCTTAGAATCAAGCCACATTCTTCTCGATGAACGTGGCAAAGGATTATGCCTCGGATACTCAGATATTTCATGCTGAATCAGCTTAGTTATTCAACTCCTAAATCTACCTATTCCGTCCAAAAGGTCTTATCTTGTTGCAATAATGGCCTTGCTACTGGATGAAAGTGTCCAGCAGCCAGATCTAGCGTCCCAACTCATCTCTCCATATTAAAGCCAAATTCACTTTTTGAGACCTAATTATTTAAGCGTAGTGCTCAAAGAACATTTCCGTACAAATGCCTCAACTTTTAGGTCTAATTTTACATATTGCGGAACCAAATTGCAGGATAAATGAATACAAATTCGCAATTATGAGAATTTTGTTTAAAAAGGAATAAATTAGTCATTAATTAAGTGCATTATGATTAAAATGACTTATTTGAAACAGATTATTAACGATAAATCGGTAGTTGAGAGTGAATAAAACCTTGCCAGAAGACTTAAACTAGTAAACTTACCACACCAATGACTTTGGTTGAATAGAAGCTGAATACACAGAGTGTGCACAGGGAGAACAGAGAAGCAGCAAAAAGGAACCGACAAAGCTCCACATCCACTAGATCAACGAGGTGACCAACCATAGACATAGATGTTCCGACAGCCAACGAGAAAGTGAGAAGGAGTTTGAGTCTGGAAAAAGCCTACAACAGCAATCCATAGATTGAATCAATTCATTAGAGAGGATTTGGAAACTAAGCAAAGCGATCAGTTTGGCGAACCTGAGCGATGGGCATGGCCCGTAGGCGATAGATTAATTGCCATTCATCCGGATGGCCATAATCCTTTGTGAGAAAATCAATTTCCGATTGGGTCATATCAACACTCCGTATGCGGACGTCTGCAACATCGTTAAGTGTTATACCTCCTCCACTTTGAAGTGGTTTCCGAAAAGGTTTTAAACGCGACACCGAGCATTTGAGACGTAAACTAACATGCAGAGCTCGAAGATGCCCCATGGAGGACATTGAGTACAGTAATCCGTTACTTGATAACTTTTTCCCAATTGTGACGGAAACCATTCTAAGTTGGCGAAAGGAGGGTGACACTGATGCACGGGGTGCACAAACATGGAAAAATCACGTAAACCGAAATGCTTATCAACCATCGAAAATACGAAGAGTGTTTATCCTGTCTTAATAAACTGCCTAACGTATCAAATGGTGAAAAATCTTTACATATCTCAGAGAAATGAATTTGGTATCTCACTGCTAGTCCACCAAGTTCATAAAATTTTGTGCAACTGTGGCCATAAACGACCGTTTAAAGCTGCCTTTTATCAAGAGAATGCTGAAAAATTCAATTACTGCCTGCAAATATACTAATGCCCTAATACAAATTGCGCTTCCAATTATACAACTAAGACCCTCCATTACGTTAGAAAACGAATATTCCGAATTCAAAAAGCCTAATTTCGATGCAACGCAGAAGTGAACAAATTTATTTCAACCAAAAAATATGCTGACAAACCGTATACCACTGTGATGAAGAAGGCACAAATTACAATGAAGAGGATACAAAAATTACAATGTCAAATTGTTATCGCGAAACTGAAAAAAAAACAAAAAGATTCACAAATACTTTGAATAATGAATCATTAATGTATTGGCATAGAATATAGAAGTTTAAGGATAAATATGACGTTCAACACATACTAGCTCATAAACTTGAACAAAAACCAAATATTCACTTGATTTAAATAAAATTTTGCGTATTATTTGATGTAAAACCAATAACATTATTCTCAAATACTATTAGTCTGAGTAGCAAAAGTTTCATGTACTCGGACAGACAAAGCAAATATATCACACCTATTTTACTGCTTATAAATCACCTAATCTTTCTAACAATGAGTTAATCGAAAACAGACTGAGAAAGGTCTCGAAGCTTACCTGCTTTTGGAGAAAAATGTGAATGTACCTCTCAGTTTTGGCTAATTCCTCCTGAAGTCGGCTGTTTTCTTCTTTTAGCCGACGAATCTCCTTCAAGGGAAAAGTGAATCGTTGATTACTTAATGAAAAACAGCTTTGGAGCAAGGAACAAGGAAATGATGATTTTTTGGTTAAAGGCAATGAACTGGCAACCCATTTGAGTTATGGAATCTCACCGGACAAAAAAACATCAATATGTCCAGTAAAACAGAAAGTTTTCTGAAAAACTAAAATGAAACACCTTTTTTTAAAATAGGTTATTTGGCTTGACATATTTACCAACATTGCATCATCCAAGTTGGTGGGCTTCTTGGCCGCCGCAAAAGGGAGTGAAAGACCGAACGTGTTCTTTGAAGAAGGCGACTCCACTTCAAAGGTATCCAACGCAGGCGAGGTATGAATACAATTCCCGTGCACCTCGGGAAGAAAAAAAATAAAATACAAGAAGTCATAGAAGATACTAGACACTGCGGTGATAGAGAAAATTTTGAGAATTATAAGAATACCACCTTACCAAAAACAGAAATGTAGGATTGAAATTCAGCTCTTTAGATTTCCATTATTCAAATCTTCTACATTGCAGAATGCACTTATTTTGGGGAAACAATTGAGTGTTAAGCACTGAATGACAGAGTTTAAAGTAACGTATTTGAAAACAACTTTTGTCCTACCGGCGAATGAATTAACGTCCGATTTTCCACCTGTTCAGCAAAGGAATGCGGATGTCCAGCATTCTGCAAGAAAGACAACAGTTCTTTGCAATAAAGTTAAAGGAATATTTTCCTTTTTTAGAAGGGAATCATCGAGCTCAAGTGCCGGATGAAGTTTGCTTTCCAGATACGTACAAAGATTTCGTGTAATAAAATCATGGCAATTAAATTTTAACCGAATACAGTTGTTTCCACATGCGAATATCAGTGAGATAAATTGATGAGTTTTGAGAGAAGAACTGTACCGAGACTCAACAGGTTACCAGCGTAAGAAAGTAAAAAGCAACATGGTACCGAGCAATGTAGATGTTGCAGCAAGATGTAATAACAAGGATTATTTAAAGAAAAAGGTTTGAGACTTATCCTTTTGTACGGAGTAATGTACGCCAAAAGAATGGCAAGATTCTATGCCACCTGTATTAATAATTCTTGAAACGTACCATTCAAATTAACAAGTAATATATAAGTTTTATAATAATTAAAGTATGACAGATTGCTTTACGAGGCACAAATGACAACTCTCACAAAAAACACGTTAACTAAACGAAAGAGTTTCGGTTCTGATAATGTGCTATTTCTCCTTGTTTGAGTTGCCATCAACAACAAAACTGTAAAATTATATCTCAAGCAAGTTTGTGGAGAAGTGGAAGAGTGACAAGGATATCCAGCTGAGAGAGATCAAGAAGATTTAGCTCACCTCAATAAGAAGGCGCTTGAGAGAATGCAGCAGCAACTTTGTACTGCGGAGTGATTGGTCCACAGCTCGATGCTGCTCGTCTGAGAGTAGATAGGCCGTACCGTCAGGAAGGAAAGGGAAGGCTTTAGTGGGTGAGGGACGGTGCAAGAGGGTACAGCTCATAGTGGTGGTAGTAGCGGAGTCCAGAGAAGGTGAAGTGGTGAACTTGCTCAAAGGCTGTCGCCGAGGTTGCGCCTTGCTTGTACTGCCCAACGCACAACGATTGCGCAAGGAGCAGGTGCCGTCTGGTATCGATTGCAGACATCTTCAAACAATGTTATTAGCAATGCCTTAGGGAACAAATACTTATCATTAATGAGCCGGTAACAAGTCATTCATATTCATTTAAGAAACATCCAACCGCCGTGTAAAACGATGTTGTATTAATCAATGCTCACACAAACCCAGCTTTGAAATGGTAAACTCCATATAGAACATGTAATACCAATTATAATCTTGGCTACCACATAGCAAACACATAAATACGAAACCACTGTTTGGTGACTCGGCCCCTTAAGTCATAAATCAAAATATGCATTTGGTATGAATCTGTTGTCATCTGCTGCGAGGTAAAATAAGGAGATTTTCTGGTGAGGAATTTGATTAAACAAAATGGCGCAATCCATATGAATTCAGAAAAGTCGGAGGGAAGAATACTAAAACCACTGCGAAAATTTACTCGCACTGTCTCGCTAAATTTCGACTGTTACTTATTAAATTCATTCCCTGACATTTAGCTGACATGGTTTATCATTGAAAAGTAAAAAGAGCAATAGAGCAATTCAATATTTTTTTTAAACGTCGGGGAAGTCATCTAGCACTTTAAGTCGCTTAAGCTTAACCAAATGGTTACATATGAATATTCCGCATCGATTAAATACCTGTAAGACTAGAATTTAACTACTTGCAGTACATTCGGAGTCATGAAAATAGCATAAAATGGCCTACTTCAGAGTCCCTATAACATTTCCTGTTTGAAGGTCCGCTGATGTGTCCGTCATTGGAATTGATAGTTTTGAGATTTCAGAACCGCATCCTTCAGCATTAGGTGATGTATAGTCGAAAGACCAAGATGAAGGCTTAGGACTCGCATCTGTATGCCAGCCAAATACGGATTATTTGCACATATTTAATGAAGAATGACCTATTTCAAGTGAGGCAAATCGCTTGTGGGTTGACAGCTACGGCATTTTGCGATCGCCGTGGTTGTATACTACAATAAAACACTGAATAAATCATTAATGCACTAAATATCTGAAAATTAATAACTTCGGCTAATTTACCACCTGCCACGATATATCATACCTTCTCGCATTAATAAATCAATGAGATGTAGGCAATTAGTACTAGGTCAAACAGTCGACTAAATGAGACAGTCGAATACAAAAGTTTCCCTGTAGGACTATGGGCAAAAGGAACACACCATTAGCCGAGTATGCACGGATAGTAAGTGTTTTCGGTCGAGCATACGGATGAACTATAGGACGTCCAGAATGAATACTATCTAACTGTTTGTGATCGTGATCAGAAGGATGTACTTCTACCGCAAAACGTTTCGCAGACTGAATCGACGGCGACTCCGCTTTGATAATTGGAGTGGAAACATCAAGGGGATTCGGCGACAAGCCGTTTGAAGAACTTTGGTGACCTTACAGAGGAAATAAAACTGTAATGCAAACCTAGGCAAATGTGCTATAATTTCAAAGGACAGTAGAAAATAACCTGAGTTTTTGATGGGGCCTCTCCTAAGATAAGCAACGGCAAGACAAATCTTTTGCAAAGAATTTCTGCTCATGGTCTTCTTTACATCAACGTCTCCTAAATTTGCGCACAATGCTGAGGACTGTGCAGAGTCTTCAATTGACCTGGAAATTATTTGCGTACTCCTTGGGGCATTTAGTACAGTTGCCTTAAAAAACAAGGAGTAGTGACTTCGTGCAATCGATTTTAGAAAAAGCATTTTTGTAAATCATTAACAAAATCTTACTTGGTTCCCAAATAAATCACTCGGACTAGTATCACAACCCATTTTAGAAGATGTGTCAGGCAATTTTTTTGCGCTAGGAAAACATTTCATCTGAAAACTGTTTCGGCTTGTAGGCGAGTTCCCCATACTTTCAGAGTATTAGAAGAGAAGAAGTAGCGTATCACAAAGCAGTAATGACCATCCGTAATAGTAGATACTGAAAATATGTGAGTGAAGAAACACAGATACTAGTATTACTAACAACAACAAGTAAAAGATAAGCACCAACCTTAACCCCCTGTGGAAATGCACTTCCACACACCCCCAAGATACCTCAAATGTACCGCCCTAAACTGCAACCAGTCAGCAAACACAATAAGCTGAATACAATTGTCAAACAAAAACATTTCACTAAATTTTTCTACAAATAAACATTAAAAACTTTACAAGTAAAGGGGTTTGTGATTTAATTAATGCGAAGTCCAGGCTAACATGCACAACGAAACTCTTAAATTACAGCCATCATCAAATACTATTTCCATGGAAATGAAGCTGCAGCTTTACCTAGCTTCTATATCACTAAATAGTACTACATTTTAAAAACAAACGAAATAACAAACGAAATGTGTTCTAAATAGCTTAGACCTGAAAAACCCCCATCCCATGATTTACATCGCACAGATATCACTTTTCTGAATTCGCTGAGGCGTTCAGCTAACTTTCTACAATTTTCTTTTTAGACCATCCTCTTAGTAAATGTACCAAAGCTGTTATGAGAACAACTAATTGGATCATCGTATTTTAATGTCAATTGACCGAAAGCATTTAAAACGGTTATAAAAATCCAATCATAACTCAGCAATCGTAAGCAGGCAACACTTTCTTCTTATTGGGTGTTAATATTAACTTCAATGATGACGCCCTCAGTAAGTCCACTAGAGGGCGCGTATAAATAGAATAGATTACTATTATGTAATGAAACATTATACCAAATTGAAATTGGGTTAACTTCGAACTTGTATCCATTTTGGTAATGTATCTCTATTGGAATAAATATGCTTGCGATTGGCTCCTTTTTTCTGGCCAGGTCCATAGTCAGCCTGGTTGAGGAAAACGCATAAAAAGCAGATCCAGTTTTTACGTCAAATACTAGGCTTATTGGTTCACCAGCAGTCATCATTGGATATACTCGGGCGAATGATTTGACCTTAAAGTAACCTATTGTTAGTTGATCTATTTAGTACTCACCAGATCGATCACAGGATTTCCTTTTTCATCGAAAAATCTTGCATCCCAATATGTCCATGACTGCAGTTGTGCATCCGCTGCATTCATTACAGCATTACACTCGATTGTATTGATGGAATCAGGATTCCCATCGGGTGCGCATATTCCGAATTCTGTCAGGAATCTTCCACTTTTTAAGCCGCGAGCGATTCCCTTGACCGATGAGAACATTCTGGGCATTATGATCTGAAACGCCAGTTTAATGAGTCAGTGTTCCTTGACCAGAATGAATAAAATATTTAAAGGACTTCAAAATGAACAGAAACCTAAGGTAAAATGCCTGCAAAATTTGAGTATTGGACTAACATCGTCACAAATCAGGCGGGTGTAAGGAGAGAAATTGAGACTTCCGTTGGCCAGCTCGATTAACGGACAGTAGTAGTGATAGGAGAAGACACTTTTCTGAAATTCTTGCGGATCGGCGCTACCCCCGGGGACGCGCTCAAATCCGGGCCCAGCAAGTCCATCATGTTTCGACGTTGCTAAAACACTCCAAGTGACGCCCTCGAAAAAGATAAACTTTTGTTTATCCACGCTGCGGATGCGACGCACCAGGTAGTCATAAACTGGCGCCAGGTTGTGCTTACCGGCGTAACCTGTAGAGAAGGTAAACTTGTAACCCTCAAAACTTCCACACTTCTACCATGTGTTTTGTAAACACTGGTAAAATGCTTGGCGCACTAACCACACTCTAAGTAAGCATGTAAGACATTCAAGTACAAAACCAAGTATATTGATCATCTCCATCTACTACTTCGGATTTTAACGATGGTTATCACCTACGCCTGTTTGAGAATGGCCATTATTAGTTCTTCCTAAGCATGAAACGTTAAGAAATCCATAAATAGTAAAAACACTAAATCTTTTAGTCTTCCGCAGCCTAATTCCCAAGCGATGAGTCGAACAGTGTAGCACCGGAGCACGATAAAGTACATAAATCGAATCAGGTCCAACTCGAGTGCTCCCAATCGGCCATGTTTATATTGTTCATTAAAACAAACTCAGATTAAGTATGCCTGTTTCATAGTACCTGGAATCGCTCTTAGAGGGTTGGTGTAGATGTTACCCGCGAATGGTTCATTCATCAACTCATAGCCTAGAACGTTCGATCTGTTTTTGAATCTATTGGCCACTTGAACCCAAAAGTTGCCCCAATGCTCCCAAGCGTTTGTTTGATTGTTATAGATATGCTGAAAGGCCATCTGACAAGCGTAGGTGGTATATCCCTCCCAATCTCCGGATGGAAGTTTTTTCCTTGGCCAGGGATATTTGAAGATCCCAGGTGGTTTCGGGAAGCTTTTTAACAGCCACAATGGGACTGCATCATAAGAACCGAACATCGTTGATAGGGAATCCTGATGCATATCCAAAATGACGTAGATTCCTGCATTGGCAAACCTATCCACTTGCCATTCAATAGCCTTTAGGTAAGTGTCATTTAGATCCCCTGGACCAAGTGGAAATGTCGGATGCCAAAGTACGCCCAAGCGAACAACATTGAAACCCCATTGTTGGAAGAAATTAAGTCGAGTGTCACTGACGTCTTTTGCATTGAAGTAGGGTGGTTGTTTGTAGACAGAGTTGAAACCATGAAAGAGAAGAAGGCGTCCTTGAGGATCTGCAAAAGCTGCTTCGTTGTTCAGATGCACTTCGGGGAGTCCGGCATTAGTTTTAGAAATGAAGAAGACAATAAGGATCAACCACAAAGTTCCCGTTCGCGCCATGGTGTTGATGTGTCTAGCATGTGTGCAAGAGATAAAAAACGCAAATGTAGCTGAGTCATCCAATCACCCGTGCAGACAACAATACGTAGACAAAATCGCACATCTACAGTTTAATTGACCGTAAAAATCAAGTAAATGAGTATTTGTGCTATTGCTATTTGTTATGAAGCATTAACCGAGAACAATGTGCATTGCTGTGATTAATTTGAAAAATTCAACTTTAAGGCTCGATGCATTTGCTTAATCCATTTCAATTTCTGAACGAGTTTACAACAGACATGAATACATGCAAAATGGTCATTATTAGTGGTAAAGGGATAAAAATTTGAAGATAATTAAGAAGTAAGCATGAGAGAATGACTCCTAAATGTGTCATTTGTAGTTGAACCACTTGGGTAGGGTAGTTAAGTTATGCATACTTTTGAAGACATGGACAATGTTTAGCTTAGACTCGTGCATTCTTCTGTAACAAATGAAAGACATATCTAAATAGATATTTAGAAAAAGTGCAATCAGTTGTATTATCTTAAAAAAAGGAACAACAACTAAAAAATGCACTCGGAAATGGCCATTTTTTGTGGGTGTAACTGCGTTTTAATAAAAAAGGATCTTTACTAATTAAAGTCGTGCATGATAAAAAGGGGGCAAAGTGGATTTCTTTTTTGATAAATAACTCTCGCTGCCGCAACGCACAATGTAAAATAGAAGTTCAGTATTGCAGTCTTTGGATTGCTTCTACTTGTCACCTCCTTAGTTGTATCCAATTTCCTTTCCCTTTGTAATTCCCTCTGACTCAGTAACAATTCGCCTTGATTTCCGGTTTATGGCAGCGCAAGATCTTTCTGTTGATAGACCCAGCCATACCGGAAGCACTAACGCTAGTTTAAAATAGACGGGTACAATTGTAGTTATTCTTTCAAACAAAGGTAGCTTAAGTGAGGAAATAAATGAATGCTTTTGGGTTGTAAGAGAATGAGATAAAGGTAGTTCAGTAAAAAGCTGTTAAGGAAATTCAAACTAGTTTGGTCATCATTACCGTTTTTCATTTTAAAATAATGTAATGCAATTTGCGTTCTGTGTAACAAATCCGTCGTATGTGTCTGATACAATTTACCCCTTACATTCCTATCTATACCAAAGAAACTAAAACTGACACAAAAATTATGGCTCTTAACTTAATGTTCCATTTCCAAATTTAATCTGGTAAAAATTAGATTTATACCTTAGCAAGCATATTTCTTCGAGGCAATTTTAAATCTTAATGTACAACATATATTTTGGTTTCTTGTAACCCCTTCAAAATTTAAATGCTTGACGAACACGCGGTC